GGCCTGCTCAAACCTCACAGCCCCTGCAGCGAGCCCGCCCCTCGATTTTCCGCGAGGCGGAGCCCTTCGAGGCTCACCTTAAACATCCCCTCCTCCAAAACCTTTCCCTGACCACCTGTCGAAAGCAGAGCTTTCTCGTTTTTTCTCCCTGAATCAATGGGACTTTGATGGTTGTCTCACAGCAGTTATCATGACCTTACTCCGCGTCGCGTTTTCAACTATCTTTTTGCCTCATCAGAATCCGGGCTTCCGTGGCTCAAGGGCCCCGCTGGCCTTGTCCCTGTCCGGACTCGCCGCCGGTCTCGGCTACGCGGTGCGCGGGAGGAGCTGCAGGACCGCAGAGGTGCCACAAGAGGGCGGCCCTCTCAAGGGCATGTTGGTCCCTCTCAGGGACTTGGCGACACCGCCTCCCCGAAGCCTCCTCGCAGTCCGTCCTGCGAGATGGGTTTCGGGGTTGCCACCTCCATCGCCCCAGATCGCACAGTATTCAGCGCCAGGCTGCCTGGCGGGGTCAGCGTTTGAGAATGTCAGTCATTGCAAAATGCAGCAGTGTTGGAAATGGCCGAAGGGAGCTTTTCTGTGCAAAAGCTGAGGGATAGGTGTCCTTCCCGCCTCTGGGAAAGGGGTGCTCCAGCGGAGGGCGAAACGAGGACTCGGCACCGACGCCCTGCACGCTGCATTCCGTGCACAGTGCGGTTCCCATGGAGACGCAGGCGGCGAGACCCGCGGTGCGCAAAGCTTCCTGGCCCGCGCGCGCGGCCGGAACTGCGGGCCGTTCTCCCCAACGCCGGGAGTCGGTGAGCTGGGAGCGAGTCGGCGCGGGGGTCCTGGGAAAGGGAGGCGAGGGTCTGGCGACAAAGACGCAGACGGCCCGGCAAGGCTTGGAGGCCTGCGGATGGAGCCTGGCTTCTCAGGAAAGTGCAGAGGGGGCTGAGGGGCACCATCTGCTGCATGTCCCTTATCCCACAGCAGGTGTCTGCGTCTGGGCACCGTGGTCGTGGTCGTTTGGGTCATCTCTGTGGGATGTTTTGGGCACTGTGGAGGTCCGGCAGCACCCCTCACTCCACCTACTTGATGGCAGGAGCACCCCAGTCGTGACAACCACAGATGTCCCCATCATTCAGGGTCCCCGACTCATACGTAGCTGAGGCCCGGTGTGGTCCAGCCGATGAGGAAGAGTGGGACGAAACGCTCACCATCTGTTCTCGACTAGAGCACGCCAAGGGGAGATCGAGGTTCCAGATGGAATTCAGGTTGCCGACCGGTGACCACGATATGGGAGGCGCCTGGCTTGTCGTGGGCTCACTGTCACAGAGGAGCCTGCGGAGGTGGAAGCCGGAGGCAGAAGACAGAATCGGAGAAGATGGCGTGAGCAGTGAGTCCATGTGCTGATGGGGTCACGAGCCGCAGAATGCAGGGCCTTCGGGAAGCGGCCCTCCTGCCGTCCCTCACGTTTCATTGACCAGAAGGGAGTCACATATCCACACGTAAAGCTATCCCAGCAATGGGGGGGTGGGGGCACGCTGATGAGGACCATCAGCAGCATCCCAAGTCACCCAGGGTGAGGAGCGGACGCCCAAACAGTCTCCGGGTTCTGTCTACAGCAAGAAGGAGACTGCGCAGCTGACGGCCCAGGACGAGGCACAGGGAGGCGTCATGGTGTGCGTGGGGCAGTCGCCAAGGGCCTGCAGGGCGACGGGCACCTTGCCGATGCCCAACGGGACTGAACCTTCAGGCCAGGTGCCCACCGCCTGCCTGGTGACGACTCCGTGAAGACCCAAACCCCAGGCCACGGGACTTCAGACTCCGCTCGGGCTGGGTTGAATTGCGCTGCCCAAAAGGACAAGTTCAAACCCTAAGAGGGCCAGAGGTAACTTCTCTCTCTGCAATCCCCAAGGCTCTATTAACCCTGACCATCCCCAAGCTTGGTGAGGGGGTGCCTCCCCCCACCCCTGCCGGGCCTCTCCCCCAGGCTGGCTCCTCTGAGCTGTTTGTTGCCTGCTGACCTGGCTGCCAGCATCTGTTGTCATGGCAACCTGCTCGGTACCAAGGCCCCCCCTAGTGGGACTTCATTGGGTCAGATGTGAGGGTTTCCATGCGAAATCTCCCAATCTTGAGAACCACGCTAGCTTATAACAGAAAATGTGCTCCTTCGAAAGTAAGTGGCGATGTGTTTACGGGGTGAAGGGACATCGCGCCTCCAGCATGGTCGTCGACGGTGCAGGAAATGCGTATCCGTGGACGTCTGCACACGCACTGCAGGCAGGTGGAGATCCAGGTACAGGTGGATGTAGATGCAGAACACGGCAATGCTGACAGAGCTCAGTGCAGCCAAATGGGGAATCCGGGCAGAGTCTGCAGGAGTTTCGGGTACTCATCCTGAAGTGTTCCGTGCGTTTGAAATGACGTCATGAGATAATATATTAATGATGCATTACAGGTAGGAAAGCAACATCCAGAGCATGCAGTTCTGGCCCCCAGAGGCCTGACTCTGCAGGTCTAAGCAGACCCGGACCCCGACGACACAGGGGCTGCAGACGAGCAGAATGTCGCGGGCCGCGTTGTGACCCCCAAACAGATCATGTTCAAGTCCCCGGCCCCACACCTGGGAACGTGACCTTATTTGGAAACGGGGGTTTGGATATGTACTCAAATTAAGGCAAGTCTGGAGTCCAGTGGCCCCTGAACCCAACGGCTGCTGTTCCCTCAAGAAGGAGGAAATGGGGACACGGGAACATGGAAGACAGGCAGAGACCAGAGCCAAGGGACGTCAAGGCCTGCGGCCACCCCAGAAGCCGGAAGGAGGGCCTGGAGCAGATCGTCCCCCAGAAGGGACAGCCATGCCGACAGCTCGATCTTGGACTTCCGGCCTCCTGAGCTGTGAGAGAGGGATTTCTGTCGCCTAAGCCACCCGGGGTGCGGTGACGTGGTGCGGCCACCCAGGAGACAGGTGCAGAGGGTGTCTCGGCGGGAGGCGGTGGTGGGGACCCCTCACCCCCCGGAGGCCCACTCAGCCTGCCCGGGGAGCACTGGCCAGATGTAGATGCTTCCAGAAAGAGCTGGCCACAAACCTGGACAGTCAGCCACCCACTCACCCACACTCTAAGCCAACGCTGGGTCCCCCTCTGCGTGCCGGCGAGGTGGGGTGGACACCCGGCTGTGAACCAAACCCACCAGAACCTCCGCCCTGGAGCTGACCACGCATGTGTTGGAGGAGAAAGCCAGCAGGGCGCCAAGTGGCGTGAGGGGCTGGTTAAGTAAGGTGGTCACTGGGGCCTTTCTGTGAAGGGGACTTCGCACCAAGACGCAGGGCAGGTGTTACTCAAGGTGGGGGATAGTGCGCTGGCAGGGGGCACAAACAGAGTAAAGGCCCAGAGGCGAGGGCCGTTGGAGCATGCAGAGACCTCGTGAGGACAGGGAGGCCTTTCTGAGGTGGGGATTCCGCCGAGGTCTGGGGACAGGGAACGCCAGGAGGAGGGCACAGGCCCTGAGGCTGGGCCGGGCCTGCCGAGCTCCAGGAACCGCGGGGCAAACTGTGTGGCCAGAGCGGAATGAGTGAGGGGCTAGAGGGAGGGCGCAGGGGCAGGGAGAGGACAGGCGGGTCGTGCAAGGGCCCGCAGGCGCGGGAGGACTTGGGCTTTTACCCCGAGGGACGTGGGAGCCATAGGGGACGGCGGGCAGAGCAGGACGTGCCGACTCGGTGCTCACTGGCGCCCTCTGGTGGCTTCCAGAGGACGCGCTGTGGGGTACGAGGGTCAAACCTGACTCAGGCGCT